GACAGGGCCCTCGAGGCCGGCCGTCCCTAGCCGCGGCGTCCATCATTGCCAGCTTCTTCCCCGTGCACGCGGCCACGCACCAACTCCGACCCGCTGCCACCGGCCCCGGGCGCGCCTATCCGCGCGCACCGTGACCACAGCAGACAACCAACACATCCACACCTCACGCCTGGCGTCCCAGCGCCAACCCAAGGGCACCGCACCACCAGCAGAAGCACCGCGAGCGGTCGGGCTGCGCTCGCGAAAGCCCGGGTCGCTAATACCGCCTGCCTCATGGACTGAGCAGATCCACGTTCGTCCGCCGCGTGGCCCCAGCAGTGCAGGAGGCCCTCGGTCCTTCGCTGTCCGTGGCTCGTGCGCCTGGCATAGTCCGCGGGGCGCCCGCAGACGGGGCAGGGCCCCTCGACACGTTCGAGAGGGTAGACGCGGCAGCTGCCCGGATCCCTGGGCCTGACTATACACAAGGAAAAGCCGAATCTTATTGGCTAACCTGCGACAGTTCCGCGAATCGTCCGCATCCAGCCCGCGCGCCCGAGAGCGGGTACTACGGCCCGGCGGGCGAGACTTCCCGCCGGGCGCACAGCCCTCCCGGCGGAGTGGCCCAAGCTCCCTGGCGGCGCCGAGAGCGCGCGCTGCCTTACTCCAGCAGCCAGAGACGCCGCACCATCCCGCGCGCCGCATCCCGACGGTGCGGCACTTCCACTATGCGCTCGCAGCCTCTGCACGAACGACCCTTTCCCAAAGTGGGGAGGGGACTCGACCCGCTTTGATCGCCGCCTCCTGCTGGGCGACAAGCGGGACGGGGACGTGCGTTCAGCCAACACGTGCGCGGGAAGCAGGCAGGAGGTGGAGCGTGTGACTCCAGCGCTGGTCTTGCACCCGGCCCAGCCCGCGTCCCGGAGGTATTTACCTTGCGTTTCTCAGACCGAGAGTCAGAGTCAGACATTGGAAGGTGCGGGCTAGGGGAAGGCGCCGAGGCGGTGCGGCGGGATCGGGGCAAACCGATCAGCCCGAGGCGATGTTAGCCGCAGTGGGCAGGACGCGCCGGACGATTGCGAGGACCCGGCGACGGCAGGGGCGGCGACACAGGCCGGAGCGTTCGGATGAGCTCGAGACCTGGAGGCGGCGCAGAGCGAAGTGAAACCTGCGCGGCCTTGCAGCCCAGCTCCGGCCGGCGGCCGCGCCCGCGCCCAATCACAGTGGGCCCCGCCCCCGCCAAGGCCCGCCCCGCTCTGGCCAGCCCCGCCCCTGGGCGTGTAGGCTGCAGCAGGTAAAGGCGGGGCAGCCCGCTGGGCGCGTCGCCCGCCCAACCCCTGCCCGGCGTGTTTACCGAGTGACTCGGGTTGCTGGCGGCTGTGTGCGCACCCATCCCCCTCCCCGATGTGCGTCCTCACCCCTCCCCCACCCAGCTGCGGCGACAAGCGGGTGGAACGGAGGGGGCGCTCCGGGCACACTGAGCCCTTGGGGACGCTGCCGCCCGCAAAGCCTCCGGAGGCTGCCCTGAGTCCTGGACCGCCTGCGAGAGTTTCTCTCGGCCGCCCGGGGCAGGCGCGAGGGTAGATTGGTCCTCCAGAACGCGCGGGCCGGTGTAACGGGGAGCTCTGCGCCATCTCCCCTTCCAGAGTCCGGAATCCCGGCGGGGCCGAGCTGCAGGCTGCTCCTCTTACTCCCCCTGGCTCACAGGGCACTCTGAGGCGCTCTCCTCACGACACCCGCAGAGGCGCCCAGCCTTTCTCCGGCTCCGGACGCCACTAAGAGGTGAAGTCCTTAGCGGGCAGAGACCAGAACAGGGTGCCGAGCAATCCCCGAGGCCTCTTCTCGCAGCCGGGTGTCAGGCGGGAAGCGAGCAGGCACTGGGCTTAGGTAAAATAGGGAAATGAAAAAAGAACTTGGGGAAAATATCCTTTTAAGAAAAAAAGAAAGGGCAGAGAAGAGCCGCGGCTTCCAGGTGGAAGGGAGAGGAGTGCCCCCGCTGGCTTGGGATCCAGAAGGTTTGTTGGGCTCAGAGAACTGCCGGAGAACAGTCCCTCGGCGTGCTGAGGCCGGTGCAGGTGGCCGCGGGGTTGGGGCGCGCGTGGAGAGCGCTGTAAGGCGCGCAGTACCCCCTCTACCCTTCCGCCCTGCGCGCCCTGTCCTCCTCCTCGGGGTCCGCACCCCCACCTGTCCTCCCAGAGCGCGTCCTATGTGCCCTCACCCTGCGCTCCCCCGGCTTTGAAACACTGAGGTCGGTCGGGAGATGGGACGTCTCGCCGCTGGGGAGCCCACGCTAGACTTATTTAAGAAGTTCAATTCAGGGGCTGCCGTAATTGGTACCCTGTTAGAGAGAAGGATCCTCGGTGCTGTCCCACTGTCTGGTCACCTTGGTCAATTTTTATTTGGTAAGCAGGTCTAGAAGGGCAGCGTGACGCACAGCCCCAGATTAAAGGCTCAGCGCGTCCCCGGCGAGTCCTGAGCTAGCGGCCAGGGCTTCCTGGAGGGGATTTCGCTGCAGGAGGGAAAGGACGGGAGCGGCCAAGTGAACGCAGAAGCGGGAGGTCTGTCCTGACGGCGGCTTGGAACGCGCGCCCGTGACCGCAGATGGCGGCCGCAGGCGCGTTATACGCCTTAGCCGCCCGACGCGGCACCGGGAACCAGCCACGGAACCGCTACCCCCGCTGGGAGGCCCCACCTGCCTGGAGTCCGGGTTCTCTGTGCTTTCCGTGGGACTGGGCAAGGCAGGCGGAGGCCGGAAAAGAACCGCGCAGAAGCCCTGCTGGTGTCTGCTCCCGCGCAGCTCCGCCGCCCGCTCTAGCGACCTGGTGAATACTTTAAAAAACAAAGGCGCGGTGAAAGCAACGCGTGAACCGCTGTTCGCGCCCCAGACTGTGCTGGGGATCTTGGGCCCAGCGCCCCGCGCGGGTGACCCCGAGCCTTTCCTGCCCCGCCCGGAGGTCCTCCCGAAACCGGCCGAGCCCAGGGTTTGGGCGGCGTGAAAAGGGCGGCGGGTCGCCGCGCCGGTCCCAGATGGGCCTTGTAGACACAAGCGATGCCTCTTTCACGGCAGGAAGAGGAGGCGGACGGAGGATGGCTGGGACCGAAAGGGCCCCGGGTACCCGAGGCAGGGTAAGTCGCGGCCCTGGACGGGCGCGCGGGCGTCGCCGGCTGGTCTTTCCCAGTTCCGAAGCCGACTTACTGCAGCGTCTTCCCCGGCCCGCCTCCCCGCCCTCGGCAAGCCGCGAGAGCGCCTTCGCGTTGCCTAGTTTCTTTATTAACCCCGGTGTCCACGCTCTGCGAGGGAACGGAGTACATCGCGCTCGGTGTTGCAAACGTTTCCCGCGCGATGTCTTCCCGAGCCTGCTCCAGCCACTCCCGATGCAGGCTCAGTCCGGCCAAGCGCTTACTCGCGGCGCCGGGAGGCTGTGACTCACTGGAACCGCGTCGCTCGCGGGGCTGAACTTCTGCCCGCGGGCGGTTGATTTCTGTGCTTTGATTTTTTTTTTTCACCCGGCGCCACGGTTTTTCAATCACTGGGAATCTGAGTCATCGCTGCCAGCCGGAGACTTTGGGTCGCACGGGGCCGTGGGGCGCGCTCGCAGGGAGCCCCTCTGTGAAGGGGGTCCCGCCGAAGCCGGAGAGTTGGCGCAGGCGGGCGGGTTACAGGGCGAGGGCGCAACGCCACACGCACTCGGTTCGAGACAGCTTGGCGCGCGCCTCGCCAGCCTCGGCGGGACCCTTGATCCGCAGCTCCAAGCGCCAGCTGGGCCTCCGCCCCCGCTCCGGGAGTCAGAGAAGTGACATGGTGGCAGCTGCGGGCGGGCCACCACCTCGCCACCACGTCCGCTATAACTTGGCCGCCGGCTTGGGCCGCAGCGGTGCGGGATAGAAAGCCCAGGTGGCCCGCGGGTTGGCTATCCCAGCAATCGGCGCGTGCAGGAAGGCGTGCGGAATGTTAAAAGCGGAGATCACCCTCAGGGCATCGTCCTTCACTGAGTCACACAAATCCAGCAACTGCAAAACACGACACAAAAGGACAGGTCAGGTGCTGTACCGCTCACGACGGCTGGATGCCAGCCCCCAAGCACTCGTTCACCAGGCGGCGAGAATCCCGGGACCAGGAGGCAGGGGCTGTGGGTCAAGAATACCCTTGCGAGCCTTCTCCATCTGAGACTCCTCGATCTGTGACGCCTAGTCCGGCACGAGCCCATGTGTTCCTTAAAGGGTGCGGGTAGGCTCCAAACCGGCTGGGAGCTCCAGTCTCGAGCCTGAGAGCTGTCGATCTCCCCTCCCGCAGTCCCCTCCGTCCCTCCTGTCCCCTCCGAGTGCCTGGAGTGCCACCCTCTGGCGCACACAGGCAAGTGAACAGGCAGAGCGTCTGAGCAGGTGAACAGAGACCTGCCGGGTTCTCCCCTACACTGCCTCCTCCGCACCCGCAACGCCTGGCTGGCAGTGGGTCACGGTTCCTGAAACACTGCCCAGTGGTGGGACTGCGCAGGAACTCGCATTGGCACTTTTGTGCACCTTCTAGAAGTTACCTGCAGTTGACACTAAGGAACCCCAACACTCCAGTGTAGTGTGACAACCACTGGAAGGCAGGATAAGGTAAAGACAGGAGAGAGAGAGAAGGGTGCAGGACAGAGACTTTGGAGAGGCTGCCCTGGGCCTCTTATCTCATTTTCTGTGGTTTAGGTGCCAGTGCATTTTTTTTTTTTAATCCCAGAAGAGAAAAAGCTACCAAGAATAACAGATTGCTTTTCGAAAACTCAACGGGGACTGGGCAGAGGGACTACCATCCTTTGCAGTCAGCAGATACACACTATACGCCTCCATTTTTCAACTTTTCGGCCATACATTTCTTTTGCTCATGAAGTTACAGTTAATCCAGGCTCCCATAATTTGTGTTTATGATTTTCAAATACACAACCAGCCCTACCTTTACCCTCATGGGGGTGGTCACTGCTGGGCCATACCAGTGCTGTCAATAGCACAGCTCTTTTGCAGTGGTTAAGGCGCTCAGAGGCAGTGGGAGGCCTCCAAGACGTGGGTGGGGGCAGTGTGGGCTAAAAGCAGCGTCTTAACAGTCCAACAATGCCTCCTCCTTTAAAATGTGCTCTGTTGCATCAGTAATTTCTAATGAAAACCTTCATTCTTTACACACTGTGGTTAAGCAGCATCAAATCAGTACTGAAAAGACTTTGATCATATTTGCAAGATGCACCATGATGAACTTTCACCGACCAAGATTTCAAAGTTTGTAATTAATACTCTTGACAAATCCCTGACTAATCTGTCAACTCTCAAAGTCTTTAACCACAAAGTTCAAAACCAGGAGGTGGAGAACAAGTCCCTGAGCCATCCATATACTGTAACATTCTTACTCAAGATCATTTATCCTTTGGATCTGGATTGGGAAATGCATCGATTTTTGTCATATGTTCCACACAGGGGAAATTCCATCTTTTGATTGTCATGGGGAAGGAATCGTGGTTCTGCCAAACACAGAATAAGGAGCCAGAAGAAGAAATGACAGCAGGTGGGTTTTATTCAATATTTTTACAATTTTAAAATTAAAAATAAAATAGACTTAGAAAGAAGGAGTCAAGCAGCTGGTACAGAAGAGGGTACCCTTGCTTGCACACATTCGGGGTGGGACCCAGCCCTGGCACTCTGATGAGGAATGGTCACTGATGGGAATGCCAGATGTGGACCACTAAGGGTCCGTCAAGCCTAAATTTGGGGGCTATCTAAAGTACCCCTCCTTTCACTTTCTCCACCTGTCACAGGCTGCAACAGGAACCCCAAAACGATTAGGGTCTAGATGGAAGGAACGGCTCACTCTGATCCCAAGTATTCTCCCACCTCTGCCTGTGAGGGTGTTGATAATGGTTGCCCTCTCACAATGCGTGCACTGGGGCCCCCACTGCCTTTGAGACCGGGCTGAGCACCGGGGGCTCCGGCGTGCACTGTGAGAGTTTTCATAACATGATGTCAATACAAAATGAACTCGGCTAGCTAATGTAGCATGGATGATGATGCAGTTACAGCGTTTTCTATTACTAGGGAGTCCTTAGGGACTAAGCAAAGTACTATAAAAACTTATTTTCTTACCAAACATGCCTTCTATATTATAAGCATAAACACGGTATATATTGTAGGGCCCCCTGTCCTGCCTGTATGTGACCCACCATCTCCTTACAGAGAAAATTATTCAACTTTTGAGAAAATAACAAAGAGGCACCCTTCAAAATAAAAGAATACGAACAAATTATAAATTCTTGCTGAAAATTTTAAAAAGGACAGAGCCAAAGCAGGGACAGTCCTGCTCTATAATAATAAGAACCTAGGAGCCACCGGAAGTTTCCACCGAGCGGAATTTGAGAATATCTACCATAGAGAAAGCAGAAACACGCAAAGTGCACGGGACACACTGTGGATGTGTTAATTTGTGGATTTTCAGGGGAGATTTATCACATCGGTTTGGCTTCCCACCCCGCCGAGTTGCAGCAGGTTGTTTCTTCCCCTCCTCTGTCTGACTCTCCCTGCATTTTCCTCGTTCTGGTTGGGAGAGTAGGGTGGCCCAGGATGGCGATGACAGAGCTTTGCAGCCTCTAGGCAAACCCTGTGTTTCCACAGTGCCTGCTGGCCTGTGTTCACTATGCAACAGATGCTCTTGCAGCAACATCCCCACTATACCTGGAACTCTGCATGCAGGTTTCCCTGCCTCTTTCTAGGTCCCTTACCCCAACGCGAAACATCCCCAGTCAGCCCCCGTCTTGCCCAGGCACTGGGATCATCCTTGCACCCAGCTGCCGGGACTTGCCTCAACCAATAGAATGTGGAGGAAGTGACACTGTGTGAGTTCCTCACAGCAGCCACCTTGCTCTGCTAGGGCCCTGAGAGCACCAACTGGGTGGAAGCCGGTTCAGCCCACAGGAAGGAGAAAGGCCAAGTGGAGGAGGACGCAGGGCTTCGGCCCACAGTCGGGCCACAGCTGGACGTATAAGTGCGGTCATCACCCAGGACACCTAGTTCTACTAAACTCGCATGGCCACGGCCACTATGTAACCACAGAACCTGGTCCTATCCTGTTTCTAATGAGAACCAGAACCAGAGTTCTAACTGTGGACACACCGCTTACAAGTGACACTTGTGAACCCCTTAAAGCCCCACCTTGAATCCTGGAGTTACATAAATATAAAATAGTCACATGTAGATACATGGACAAGAACGAGGCGTTCAGGAAAAATGCAAGTGATAGAAAAGCAAATGGAATTAAGATCAAGCTAGTGTCTACTCTGTGACAAGGCTGGTCGTGCTAAATGCTTCATTATCACAAAGCTCCTTTCCGCTCTCAAAAGCCTATGGTGTTGTGCACGTGTGCCATCGGGCAGCAGACTTTTGTACAGTGACAACAGGAGTGACCTGACCTAAGACCAGCTGAAGGACTGCCCAGGTGCCCAACCATAGAGTGGCAGGAGATAGACAACCGTTACTTTACGTCAGTAAGTTTTAGGGCCATATGTACACCGTGGTCGGTAACTGAAACAGACACTGTCCTTAAACAAATCCAAGTTGGCATTCAGTGGGGCCATCGTCAGAGGCACGTCTGCTTCTTAATTGCCTGAGGACAATTCTATCATGGCACAGCTAAAGCAGTTGACAGTGAAGTGTTGCTGACTGACAGGCTTCACTGTAAGAGAGAATTTCAGTCCTGAAAGAGTAGTTCATAAAGCTAAACAGGTGCCCAGTTGGTGTAGTACCCGGGGGAGAATTGCAGTGAGGGCTAGAAGTCCCTCTGCAGGCCCCCCTGCCCCTCCACCCCACCTCCCCTGTGCA